TGTAATTCCTTCAGAAGATTTGAATGTTTGATTTTCATCCTACACAGATTTTTGCCAATTTGCCCGTTTCATCTTCCCACTTTTCAATTTCCTATAGACTTTGCCCAACAGCACGAGTAAACTAGACCAGAGGCCCCCAACCTTTTGGGCACCAGGGACCTATTCCATGGAGAAAGGTTTTTCCGCGGACTGGAGGGTGCGTGTTTTGTGTGCTGCCTGCATCCTGTAGATGGGGCTTTGCTTGTTTGTGCAGACCAGTTGCTGGCATGCAGCGGGCCTGGTACTGGTCCATGGACCGGGGGTTGGGGACCCCTGAACTAGACTCATAAAACTAAGCCAATTCCAGTATAGATAGCACAATTTAAACAATAAAGAACATTCCTTCAGAGAAGAAATAGGTACCCTTAAAAAATAAGGGTAGATAACAGATTGCCTTCCAGATGTTCTGGGACATAGCTCCCATTATACGTGACATTTGACCAATTTAGCTAGGGCTGATGGTTATTAAATAAAAATGGCAATGCTTTAAAATGTAGTAAAAATTAATATTCACATATGAGTATTGATAATTCCAGGTTTTATCTGTGATTATCTGAAATGTAAAAACTCAGAAAATATTAAGAATAATTTAACCTGATGGTCAGGATTAATTTATTCACGTGCTAAAATGTGGGAAATAAATATCTATTTCTCACAATTCACAATTCATATCTGTTAATAGCTCATTTGTATTCCATCCTGCACTCCAGAAAAGGAAATAGTTCTTGATATTAAATTAATAAGTAGTAACTTAAACCATAGCCAGATACACTAATGAAAGTGCATGGTTTATGCAGAAGGACATTTGTATGTGTGTAGCAAAATGATTTCAAAAATGCAAGCAAATCTACAAGAGAATGCTCATCCATTCAGAACCTAGCCAGGTCAAAGTCCAGAGCTAAATCCCTTAAAATTTTATGAGATGATCTGACTTTGCAGTTTATGTTAGAAAACCTTCAAATGTTACTGAATTAAAGCAGTTTGCCATGGAAGAATGAACCCAAACTGAGGCAGTATAAAAGACTTATCACTAATTTCACAAATATTTTGTTTCAATTATTACAGCTAACGGTGGTACAGCTAAGTTACTGAATCTAACTAGGCGGATTATTTTTTCACACTGGTTACTTTGTTTTGAAATAAATGCAAGAATTACCAAAACTTCAGGCAGACTTTGTATATTAGTAGAACTCACCTGAACCTCTGATGGCAAAGTGGCAAAGATATGCAAACATTCATAAAATCCAAAGCAGATGAATACATTTTCATAGAACCATATGTTTTATCACTAAGAAATGCTAGCGATAATTTAAAAAATATAAGAAAACGTACTGTACTGACTGTTCTGAATACCACAATAGCTTAGTTTATGGGATTGGATATATTCATGGGATAATGATAATATCAAAACATCTGGATCACTACTTGAACACCATCTGCATTGACAAAATCATCATCAGTCAATTGCAAAAGGCAATTTTACTTGGAACAGCTTACATCCTGCAACATTACCTTTAAGATTCTTAACCAACAACCTCTGCTTATCACAGATCCTTAGGAAGGACTTTATAGGTGGTCAAAAATGCCAAATCCAGTCTAAACATCTGGCTGACTCTGTGACCAGCCATAATAATACTATTATATCAGAGGTTACTAATGGAAATTTCTCAATAAAAAGGCTTCTGGATGTCTAATTTTGTCAAAAGTGAAGGAATAAAAAGACTTTAACTTGTGATGTCATTTAGATATTTCTAGCAGGAATACAGTGGATTGCAGCAATTTTATTTCCAAGTTAATATCTCTTGGCTTCTTGGGATGAAAGGGATGATATGCCAGTCAAAGGTTCTTAACTCATTTATACTAATTGAAAAAAATCTATATTTCTCTGCCCTTGTAAACCTATTTAATAATTTATTTTTTTTAGATTATTCAATCATTCTTTGACCTTATTTAACAGGACTTTTAAAAATTAAGCTTATAGCACTAATTGCCTTAATTATGCTGGGATTCAGCTAGACCTTGAGTTTTCTAGCTCTTGTCAACAGGTATTCAATAAATTTGGAATAACATATTCTAAAATATGTATTAAGGTTAGGTCATGAAAGTTGAAAGAATGTCCATTAAAAGACACCTTTTGAAACACCACTAGACTATAAACAATAATAATAATAATTAATAATAATAATAAAGTTGGAAGGGACCTTGGAGGTCATCTAGTCCAATCCCCTGCTCAGGCAGGAAACCCTACACCATTTCGGACAAATGGCTGTCCAGTATCTTCTTAAAAACTTCCAGTGTTGGAGCATTCACCGCTTCTGGAGGCAGGTTGTTCCACTGGTTAATTGTTCTGTCAGGAAGTTTCTCCTTAGTTCTAGGTTGCTTCTCTCCTTGCTTAGTTTCCACACGTTGCTTCTTGTCCTGCCTTTAGGCGCCTTGGAAAATAGCTTGACTCCCTCTTCTTTGTGGCAGCCCCTGAGATATTGGAACACTGCTATCATGTCCCCCCTCAGAGCTGAACTGCTGAATATAAGCTGCATGTTTTCAAAGAGAACCAGTGGATATAAAAAAAAATCCAGATTGGGTTCCCGCAACACAATAACATAGTGTGATATATAATACCATTTTTTGTTTTTTTTGTTGCGGAACCACAGAGAGATAGGTAGACACATCTTTGGAATCCATTTATGGGCATCAAATATAAAAAAGGACAGTGGCAAATTGGAGTGATTTTAGAGGAGGGTTATCAAGGTAGTGGAGAGGATCTGAAAATCAAGCTCTATGACAGTGATGGTGAACCTTTTAGAGACCGAGTGCCCAAAAACTGGCCCCGCCCCCACTCTACCCCCTGCCCCGCCCCACCCCGCCTGCCCGCAGGGCCACTCACCATCTCCAGGATCCACCGCAGATCGCCCAGCAGTGCCATGGCAGCCATGCCCTCTGCCCACACCCCGCAGCATCAACTGTGCACGATGGGGCATGAGGGCAGAGTCTTGTCTACGTTGCCTGGCTGCCATGTCCTTGACTGCACTGCTCCACATGGGCCACGCTCGGGGGGTGACCCTTCTCCAGGAGGGCTGCTGGTGAGGAGGGTGTCACGGGGGGAGGCAAGGCTGGGGCAATGGCACGTGTGGGTTCTCCACCACTGCTCTATGATGAATGGTTTAATGAGTATGTATAACTAAGGAGAGATATAATGGCAGTTTTCAAACATGATTGTTTATCACATAGCATAGTAGTAGTAGCAGCAACAGTAGTAGCAGCAGCAGTAGTAGTAGCTAGGATGTGGAATGAATTGCAGGACAGTGTTTCTGAGAGTAGAAATTCTTAGCCTGTGGAACAAGCTGCCACATAATGTGGCAAATTTTTCTCCCCTGAAGAAATCATGAAACAGAAGCCAATTAGTCATCTATTAGAGCACCTCTGATAGACCATATATTGAACAAGGAATTGGATTAGATAACCTTAAAAGTCCCTTCCAATTAATAAAGCACTAGAATTTGATTTCATTGAAGGAACACAGATAGGATTCAAATTAATTCTTGAATAGTCTGACTCTTGATTCCAGTGGATAACTGAGCATCAGGTTTATTTTCTACTTGAACTTTGGCTGGCTTTTTATCTACAGAATTCCTGTGACTGGTCTCACCTGATGTCCTTCCAAAGGAATTAAGGATTTATGACATGAAAAGGATGTTGAACAATTAAAGTTTAAGATTTCTAGGATAAAGACATCAGAAGAAACTCCCTACAAAAAGAAAAGCTTAGAGTAGGAGGCATAAAAGTAGAGTGAGACCTATTGTTCTCTCGCTGCGAAAGCATTTATGTTGGAGTCTCCTTCATATAGCGAAGTTTGTAAATATCTCTCCCATTTATATAAAGAATAAAAACTTACAAAATCTAATTCAAAATGTCAGCTTTGGCCTTTGAAAATAATGTATATTTTAGCATTTCCAGATTTGATATGAAGGGGGAATTGGTTGTCAGATGACTTGTTTTTCCTCTTGTTTTGACACAATGTTGATTTTATTCCTCCCAAAATAATGCTAGATGTGATTTCCTCCTATTGATCTTATAAAAAAAAATTCATCCCTCCCAAATGCTGCCAAATCAAAGCTGTTCTTTCTAATTCTACTCCAAAGTATAAATATCTACTACAATTGGATTGTGTATATTTTTTCACAGACATAATCTAAAGTCCATAGATCCACGTAACCTTCTGGATGATCCTGATCATAATTTCTATAGGTCATCATCTGCTCAGTCTCCTATTAAATATATTAGAGTATAATCCATTGCTCTTCTTTTCTCAAACCTCTATCCCTATTTACATCACTCTTTGAGTTCTGCAAATGGAAATATGTAACTTTAGAGAATGAAGCTGCTGCCTTTTTTGTCAAATGTTTTTAATAATAATACAAATATTTTCAGCTATCCATGTCTATGTCACTTTTGTTTCATAATTTGTTTCATAATTCAGGGAAAACTCTTTTTTCATATATAAATATATATAGCAAAGTCAGATTAATATCTGGAGTCAAATTCATGGAATTAGTAGTGCAGATAAGTTGGAATGATCAGTTTGCTGATATGGGAAAGAATTTGTATACTAATTATCACCTTCTCTGTCATTGTCAAATATTGAGTACACCTTCAGAAACCTAAAAACAATATTCTGTGTATTCTCTATATTCTGTGTGTCAGTGTAACATTCCTTTTTCTTTCTTTCAGAATTTTAGTAATAATTGTGCTTTTGATTTGTTTAGAGTTTGAGATTAAGGACAGCCTTCAAAATATTTGTATCTCAAACTGCTTATACATATAATCTGTATTCAATTTATTTCTTATCCTTGTGAAGGTAGGAGAGGCAGAGCAAAGGAAAGAGAGACAGAGAGAGATAGTAAGAGTTCAGTGCTGGCCTTTTCATTGAATCTACAATAGCTTTTTATTTTTGTCTTGTCCAGATACCTGAAAGGTGTGTCTAAAAATGCAGTTTCTCCTGTATTATTGGAACTGGCCAATGAGGTAATAAGTTTAAAAAAAGTATTCTTCTGAAATGTAAGATCTTTATCTGTAGAGATTTTTAAGAAGTATTCTTGAAATATATGTAGTTTTAGGGTACATCATATATTTAAAATGTTAATCTGTTTGTAATAGGAGTGCAAACAAATATATTAATTAATCAATTAAGGTATTCAACATATTATATTTTGAATATATCTGTGTAATTTTCATTTATGTATATAAAGACAAGTGGTTACCTTGCATGTATGGGTCACTTTCAGCAACAGTTATTTGAATCTCTGAGGAACTCGTTTGATTGTTTTGTTTTTATAGAAATATCTATAATATACTGTACAGTATGATTTTACAATAAAATGAATTTCCTTTATTTTCAATGTTTTTCAACCCTTTTTAATATAGGATTTAATGGGGAAATGGGTTTAATATTAATGAAACATTCCTCATGGACATCACAGTTCAAAGAAGTATGGTGTGAGTTTGAAATGTTTATATTGTTGTCATCCACATTTAATAGAAGAAAACTCCTGCATTATTGTGATGAAACATTTGTGTCAAGGCAGTGGTTAGAATGCAGTACTGCAAGCTACTTCTGCTGACTGCTGTATGTCAGCAGTTCAGCAGTTTGAATCTCACCGGCTCAAGGTTGACTCAGTCTTCCATCCTTCCGAGGTTGGTAAAATGAGGACCCAGATTGTTGGGGCAATATGCTGACTCTGTAAACCGCTTAGAGAGAGCGGTAAAGCACTGTGAAGCGGTATATAAGTCTAAGTGCTATTGCTAATTCATTGGAGAAGACTCTTTTCTACTGTAGACAGTTTATAAACTTCCTATATGGCTTCCAAAGAGGAGTCCCATCTTTTAAAACTTGTAACATGTTTATTTAGAGTAAGACTATGATATTATTTCATTTTAACATTGCAATACGAGTGTTATTAGATTATAATAAATGCACCGGATTTATTTCTTCTAAATGCTAAAAACTGTAGCAAACCCAAACCAAATTAAAAAAAAAAAAAGACAAATGGAACTGGACAGCAAACTCTACTCATTACGTTAGGAAGTATGATTTTTCTCTAAGCTTCTGTCTAATTTACACTGCCGTAATCTACAAATGGGTAATTATCTATCAGATACTGGATGGTTTTAACGGTCTTTAAAATGTCTACATGTTGGAGCAATATAGGGCTTCCAAGTGAAATAGGTGTTTTGTACTGGTGCCAAATCGATGGTTCTTGTAGCTTTATACTATTTTCTTTATTTTGAACAAAAGAATATTATTAATCAAATACAATACATAGATATTGTCCTAGATAAGCACCTTCTAGTCACCGAAATAGATCATGTGTACAGTCTTGCTTGCATCAGCCCCCCCCTTCAATCCCCATTTCTAACAGATAATTCTGGTACATAAAGCATGCCCTTATTCAGATACTATGTTTGCACATCTTAGCAATTCATACACTTAGGGCTTCTTAAATTGTAAATTTAGAAATAAATAAAATTATTTAAAATTTAAAATACTGCTGAAATTACTATTTCATGCAGATATATACGAAATGTATGTTTTGTAATCAGCTTTAGCAATTAGGGAAACATGCAATGTCAAACATCTGATGACTATTTCTACACAATCAAGTTGCTATTTTTATATGGTAGTTAATATTTAAATGACAAATTATTCCATATGCTGACCAATGATGTAATGGTAATATTTGAGTCAATTAGTGATTGCTTTAAAAATTGATGAGAAACATATAACAGGCATCATAGTATATAATATGCTAAATCAGAATAGTGCCTTGTATTTTTTATGAGATGCTGAACCTTTTAAAAATATTAAATATGACCACTGTATACTTTAAAATGTTTTTAAAAAAATGAAAACAACTCGTACATGTATTAAAAATAAAACTAGTCATTCTCACCAAATATTTTCTAGTGAGATTTGAAACACTATGAATATTACTTACATGTTACATTCTGACATAAAGCATGATGGCCCTATTTCAGAGAAAGATGGGTTCATGATTAATATGAAAATTAGGAAGATGCAAGTACCTGAACTAATAAGGTAGTCCTTATTCTGGCTGGTCTACCTTCAGTAATTTCACCATTTTTCATGTGTCAGCTCTGATGTGAGCTACCAGAAATAAGCAATTCTTTGTAAAAAGCAGTTCTTTCTATTAGGGGGAATTTCAGTGCATCAAAGTACATTTAGAAAAAAGCATGTAGAAATCAAAATAAGTTTTGTTTCCCCAAATATATGAATATATTTGAAAACATATAAAACAAAAAAATGAAAAAAATGAATATTATCATTTGCAATTATTTTCTTTAAAAGTCTGGCATTTGGTCAAGAGTATATTTCACATTGTTTAATAAATGTAAGCTTTAACAATGAATTAGTAGATGTTTTTAAACAGATGTTCATTTCTGAAGTATATTTGAGAAATCCTTGCTTCTCTATATTCATTTTTTTTCTCATAATCTTCATGTTGTACTATACAAAGTGATTGATCTAGATATAACAGTACCTATATATCTGGATTTTTATCATTACTAATTTACAAAAATAAAATCTTTTAAAGGTTCCCTTAGAAATTTCCAAACAAATAAGCTATAGACATTCTTAATGCATTCAACTTTGCACAAAATTTGTCTGCATAAATCACAATAATTTCATTGTAATACAATGTACAATGTAGTAACCTTTAAATTTATAATAGCTATATTGGAAAAATAAATTAAAATGTCATTATTTGAGACATTATTTTGTTATTGAAGAAGTTTCACTATATTAAAACACATAATGATGTCCATGTAGAGGAGACCAAATTGGAGAAGTAGTATTGTAATAATATTGCAGTAGCAAATTCTGGACCACAACTTATATAAAAGTGATAAGAAATGAAAATACAATTCATCCTCTTCCCCACAATGAGAGAAAGAGAACACCAGCCAAGAAGGAGCACTGAGCAATCTCAGTAACCACAAAGTAATTTAGTTGATCCTGAAAACATGCATGAGCAGAAGGAACAGAGTATGTCAAAGGAGTCAGCTAAGTGTCACTGTGAATTAATGAAGTCATGCCACAATCTTTTGTTTCAGGTCTCACTTCTACTGGGTAAATGTTAAATATGTTATTTAATCTTGTCTATGATCATTTCAAACAATGTAATAAACACAAACCAGTAAAACGAACCATTATGATGATTTTTTAAAAATTGAAAGATAAGGCCATACATGAATACGAATGCATATAACGTTGTTGTAAGATGTGGTCCAAAAGATTTATTTATCAGATTATAGCATAATTTTTACCATGTCAGAGAAATGTACCTTTCTGAAAAGATGACTGAGATAATGGAGGATGCATCCTTGACACTGCTTTATTGATCTAAGTGATAAAATAAAACCAGATTTTAATGAAAGTTGATCACAGTTTATCTTTCTTCTAAGGTGGATTTTGCCCCATCACTTATGGCTCGAATTGTGTTAGAAAGATTTCTACAAGAACAAGATGGATCAATACGTAAGTAATTTTAAAAATATTTATGGTTATTGATATACAACTAAAAATGTAAAGTGAATAAAGGCAGCTTTTTAAATCTCATAAAATTTCCAGTTGTTGTAGGGAAAAATTTATTAAGGTTATGTTGCATATTCCACATTGAACTCTTGGAGGAAAGGCAAGATAGAAATAAAATTAATTAATTAAATAATTAATTAATAATAACACACGTTGTTTTCATCCTCAGAGTTTTTTGCACTGAATATATACGTCCCTCATTATAGAATTTATATTAGTTACTGTCTTAAAAATTATTTTTCTACGGAAAAAATACTTCTTAATATTACACGTGGAATTGATTATTTTAAGGTCTTAACAGAGTTATGGTACAGATTATATACTACATATAATTGTTTGCGTCCCTTTAAAAATAGCATTCTAATACCCTGCTATCATATTTTAAGGCAAAATACTACAGATAGAATTCTTCTGTTGTGGGGCAATCCTTTCATCGAGAATTCAAGAAATAAGCATGTTCTTGAAGTTCATTAGAAATTAGTAAGAATTCAAAGTTCTGAAACTGTAATTGGTTCATGGCATAAATAATTTTGCCAAATAATTCTTGAAAAGAAACTTATTCTACTTTAAAATTCTGAAATCTGAGAACTTTAAGGTGAATTTAACTGAGCTCAGTATTAGACAGAAAAAAAATGAAAAGAATATAGCTTCAGGAGGAGGTTCAAGGCTAAATTAATTTGCCACTGAAAAAATACATTTTGTTATTTTCTCTGTGTCAACTGCATGATTAAAACCGGCTGTTAAGTGAGCTCTGGGGATGTGCTCGTAAAAGATTTATGAGTAATATTCAATGTGATATTCAAAGTGAGTCATGAATATCAGGGTAATTGCTCTCAGTGTTGGCTCCTTTACTAGGCAGGAGTTTGTCAACTGCCCCATAAATATTTGCCTAGTCTCATGTAAGAAAGACAATTTCATCTTTTGCATTTTTATTATCTATTGTAATGTTTACCTTTGGAATTTGACTATGGGAATGGTAAAAGATTTAGAGCATCCTTGACACATGTACATGTATTTTTATTCTTTGAAGGTAAAAAAATAAGCAGTCTGGAAAAAAGAACTATCATCCAATAGATTAGAGATGGGATTTTTATTACTAGTATTTATTCCTTTCCTCTTTTATTTTTTTTAAAGCTATGGTTTTTCTATAGACCTTTTTTATTATTATTTATTTTTATTGGAAGCTTTGCAGTTGGTGACTAGTAGGGTTACTTCATGACGGTTTCATTTGAATGAATTAAAGTACTTCCTCTAAAAATTCAATATCATTTCAATAGATGTAGCCTTTAAAGTAACCTGCAGTGATGCTTCATGAGCAAATCACATGATGTCAGAATGGTATGGTTTCGATTTAATCAAGAAAGAGATTAAAGTGGATGTGTGTTATTTTCAACTTCGCTGCAGCACCTCCATTTGTCAAAGTCAACCTTCTGATTGCTTTGGACCTACTGCTATCCAGATCTTGTCAAAATAGTAGTCTGCACAATCTGAGGCAGGTAGACTACTCTCTGCAGCACAGTATCAGACTCTATAAAGTGAAATGTGTTGGCTTATGAATTATAAAGCTAATAGATTGATCATAAATTCTGCAGCTGTTTAATTTATTTTTATAATGCTGGCACAGCTTCCGCTCATTGTATTTAATTTCCATCATTCTGTAATATTATATGGTCAAACAACTGAATAGAAGTTTTTAAATGAATTGTGGCTGAGAATCTTAAGCTCCAGCATTAGCAGTGTAAGCCTTCAGTTTGTGTGCTAACCATATTTAGAATATAGCCGTATTTAGGGGAAAAATGTATTTTAAGCACCTATTTTCTAGAGAGAGAAAGAACAATGGTTTCAACTGTGTATATTCAAATATATTATTACCTTCAAATATTCTTATATTGCACTAGTTCAATATTCCTATATTGAAGTGTTGTTATTTCCTTCTGGATTTTTAATAACAAATCGATGCTATGCATTAGCTTATACAATTCCCAAGCTCAGAGAGTGTGTGACCGCAGTTTAAACTAACATTAATTGCCAGTAGTCTGAATGTGAGCATAAAAATTTTAACTATGGTCAAAGCAACTGTAATATAGTAATGTTTTTCAAGAAAATGCTTCTTTTGAAGGTGGGAGGAAGCCTTTATTCGTGCCAGATCAGGGGGCTCCATGGTGTTGGCACAAAGTGATCTTAGAAAAGAGCTGAAAGGTAGGGTAGCTTTTATTCTGACATTCTCTTCCCCTTTCACAGCAATGACCCGGCTGGCCTTTGGCAATGAAATTCAATGCACATGGCTCCGCAGTCAAATCATCAAATTTCCCTGTGTGTATATTAGAGTTTTGTAATGTGTTTCCATTATGAAGCAATGCAGGGATAATTGTCTTTGGTAGCAATTAGCTAACAGGTTTGTTCAGTACTATTGGCAAAGGCATCCATCATCCCCTCCCTGACCACACTTTTTGTCTAGCTCGGACTATGGAGATCAATAGAATTCTATATAGGGGAAAGTACCCCAGCTTTAATGAGCTGCTAGTCTCAGTCAGTCTTAGTTTGTATTTCTGATTTTTACCTTTAAAAGTAGATGAGGGGGAATCTTCCCATAGGGGGAGGTGTGTATTGTATAAGTACTATTGCTTTCAGTAGATCAATGTATAGTTTTAAATTGTTCTGTACTGAAAGGTATAGGAATTCACACTGAGAGACTTGACAGAAACAGTTTATTGCTCTGGTAATACAGTTTAACAATATGCAGTTTTGAAAATGATTATTGGACTTAGATTTCACTTTTAAGCTGAATGATTTATACATATCAAGGATAGCAGACTGCATTTATCCAAAGTCATATCCCCTTGAATTACACAGCTGGAAGGAGAGAAAAAGAACCAGGTTTTATTTGAATCTTTTGTGATTCATTACTGTTGCAATCCTGTCCATACTCATCTAAGAAAAATCTTTGGACATTATGATATGTGCTTCAGCATAATTCAAATCAAATGTATTATTATTTATTGTTATCATAGATCACCATATCAATAAAATAAAATAAAATAAAAACAGAAAAAAAATTAATCGAGTAAAATTAAGGGTACTAATTGACAAATTTGTCACATTTCTACTAGTTATTGCAACTTTTGCACCCAGCCACATAAAATGTAGCATGGTAGGAATCTAAAAGAAGCACATGAGTGGAATATGTCTCTGTCCTTGGGAGATGTTGCAGCAAGGGAGTATATAATCTTGTACAGTTCCCAGTAAAAATAAACAGTATATGTTGAACAATTTCTATTTCTGCAGAGACACATGGATAGTTACATTCTATTAGTGAATTTGGGTGAATGTGCCTGCTATAAAAGGGTGCTGATTTCACTTTAGTATTCATTATCACTCAATCTTTGAAGAATTCTTTTTTTTTTTTTGCTGGTGGTCCTGCCATTTTGTGGAGTAGCAAAGAGAGATGTTTCACAACTGAACAACAACAAATAAATCTAGATAATCAAAGGAAATCCATGGCAAGCTCAGAATACCTTAGTCTCTCATTCAGTGCTAATATCTATGGTGAGGAATGTCCATTCTTCAAAATTACTGAAAGAATGTTATCTTTAACCAATATGTTATGATTCACCACTATGCTTTTTCTTCTCCTTGGGACATTCTATCTTGGACCTAGGTATTATGCTTTTGATACACCATAGAGTTGACAATATGGATCTTAGCAAATTTGTTTGTATGCACTTGAGAGAATATATCTTCATATAAATTCCTATCTACATTACAGGAATTGGTTATGTCTAGTCTAGTGAAAAGAAGGACTAGGAGTGACAGGATAGCGGTGTTCCAATATTTGAAGGGATGCCACAAAGGCTGGACAAAGCAGGACAAGAAGGAATGGATGGAAACTAATCAAGGAGAGAACCAATATAGAACTAAGGAGAAATTACTTGACAGTGAGAACAATTAATTAGTGGGACGACTTGCCTCCAGAAGTTGTGAATGCTCCAACTCTGGAGATTTTCAGGAAGAGATTGGACAGCCATTTGTTCAGAATGGTATGGGGTCTCCTGCTTGTACAGGGGGTTGGACTAGAAGACCTCCAAGGTCCCTTCCAACTCTGTTATTCTGTTATGTTCCATAGAAAACTTGAGCAAGAGTTTTTGCCTTGAACTGTTTTAGGGCTGCTGGTATTAATTTCCTCCCTTTGGTATAAACTTTGTCATATGATTGTATTACAACTGAAATATTTACATTTTAAAAATGTATTATGGCAGGAAAATACAGGCACTAACTTCCTAAGATCAAGAGCTCAAAATCTGGTATATGTTGTTGTTTAAATACTATAGGAAATTGTCTAGGCATCCAAAAGTATAAGTTCAACATAAAAAGTTATGCTAAGTGTATTTTGTTAATGAATGAAATGATTGCTTTCTAACAATGATTCAAAATAACTTCTAACTTTATTACAATATAAATATACATCCCAAGATTTATTGGGCTAAGAACCAAAATATGTAAATTCATAATAACAATAATCATCAAAAGTTGAAAATCAAGAAACTTTGTAAAAATGAAAATAACAGATTCCCTTGATGGAGAAATGTTTACTACTAATAGATTTGTAATATAATAGTTCAGCATAAATTACAGAAGTGGAATTGAAAGCCTCAAATCAGACCTTACTTTGGGATTGTTTTAATGATAAACAGATATGATAGAAATGATATAAAGGAATAAAGCACAAAATGATAAAAACAAGACAAAACACAGAAGAAAATAGCAACATAAGATGTTAATTAAAAGCATAGCTCACTGAAATTGTTGAGAGCATAGTTGAATAAATATATTGTCAAACTCTTCCTGAAGACTAGAAAAGGGAAGATCATGCATACTTCCCAGGAGAGTAATGATATTTTTAATGCTTATTTTATTTTATGAATATTTCATCACTATATAAAAGC